CAGCCCTGATTTTCATTATCTCTCCCTATCTATGAGTTTAAGGGGTTGTTTATTTTTGTTTTTTCAAGGCTTTCATGTGCATCATTAAGTTATTAATATGAGATGTGACTATTTTTCTGATGTACCACTTGGTTGTGTAAACTTCCTTCTTAGGACTGTCTCCATCGTGTCCCATAAATTTTGGTATTTTTTGTTTGCATTTTCATTCAATTCTAAAAATTTTTAAATTTCCCTTTTGATTTTTCTATTGACAAAATTTTCATTTAGTAGTGTGTTGTTTTGCGTCCATGATTTTGTGTACTTTCTGTTGCTGTGGGTATTCAACTTTATTCCTTCATGATTAGATAGAATGCAGGATGTTATTTCAATTTTCCTATATTTGTTGAGGCTTGTTTTTGCACCCTAATATGTGATTGATTTTGGAGAAATTGTAAATGCTGCTGAGAAGAATGTGTATTCTTTACTGTTTGTGTGGAATCTTTTGTAAATATCTATTTGATCCATTTCTTGATAGTGATAATGATAAACACTTTGAAAAATTCTGGTAAGGTTAAAATTTAAAAAAGAGGAGGATGTAACATGGAAAAACATACATCCAGTTGGTTACCAAGTTAATACTGTGCTGCTTATGCATTGACTAAATACCCAGAACCTTCCTCTCTCATTTTGCTGAGATGATTAATTAATTACCCAATATCCATAACTGCACTTTCTTATATGCAATATCTAAAGTTGAGTATTTACAAAATGCAATGCCGTGTCAGTTATGAATATACAGCTGGTAAATAAATTACATTCAAATATCAAATGTCTTCATCTTTTAACAAGAAGTCATAAGGATTGCCAGACCAATTGTGAATTCATGATTCTTCTGGCTTAGCTTCCCCAGTGCTGAATTGCATGCACGTATCACCATGTCTGCCTTCTTCATTCATTTAACAAATGATGTGTTCTTTGGGACATCACACAGTTGCAGTCAAGTTGCATGTGCTCTGCTTGTGCACATTCTTTTGACACTCATCTCAACATTCTGTCAAGACAATGACAACAATGCTATTTCATTTAATGTAGACACTATAGTATCACAATTTTAATACTATATCTCTGAAGTGTTAAAACTGGACCAAATGTACTTTACCAGGAGTTTAATTCCTAAGCCAGAGGAGGAGTATTTGTATGACTATCAACTTTCCCTTGCCCAGTTTAATACCTTGGTTCCCCCTATGGAAACTTCTTAATGGTACGTTGTAGGCAGGTCTTGCCGAGTTAGAATAAAATGTTGTTCTTTCTTATATAAGAACTATAGTTATTGATCCAGAGTTTGGGGGGTGAAAGCAGGGAAGATTTTTGAGGACTATGCCCAAGGAACTTGTCTAAAATAAGAGTTTTGCTCAATTTATAGGCAAGTGCAGACTTCATTCATCTAATATTCTGGAAGAGATAGCTTTAACCAGTTTAGAAAGGTCAAATCATTCCGGAGCTCCTGTTTGGTTTTTAGGTTTGTTTTTGTTCTATTTGCTTTTACTGAGTGTGGGTGCATGTGTGTGTGTGTGTGTGTGTGTGTGTGTGTGTGTGTGTGCACTTATGTTCTAACATGAGTTCCCAAGGAGGCAAGAACAGGATGTCAGATTTTCTGGAGGTCAATTACAGATGATTCTGGAAACAGAACTCCTGTCCTCTGAAAAAGCAGCAAGCTACACCATCTCTCTAGCCCTCACTTTCTGTTTAAAAATGAAACAGTACTGGGGTTCAATTCCCAGTGCCCACATGGTGGTTATGAACCATCCTTAACTCCAGTTCCAGGGGAATCCAAAGCCCTCATCTGACCTCCACAGCATTGCATGACACGGGTGCATACATGCAGGCAATACACTCATACACATAAAATAAAAAATAATAAATAAATAAAAGTACTTTTGAAAAAATGAAACAGTAAAGATAGACACTACCCTATGTCTCAGTGTCTTATGCCTTCCTTTCCAGAGCCTTGAACTTAGCAAACAAAGCCTGTTAAGCCTAGGTGGAGTTTCGCTAGTTGGTTGGTTGGTTGGTTGGTCTTCTTTGCAGTTCTGTGACTCTTAACAATTAAGTCTAGTTCTGTAGGAAATAACACTCTCTTTAAATGCCATCATGTCATGAATGTTCTGTTATTACTGTAGTATTTAAGTCAAGGGCTTATAAAGTACAGTTTCTGAGCCAACTCCAGATATATAGTATCAGAGACTCTTAGAGTGGTGCTCCATTACATGCTTCAACAAGGAGTTTGAGAACACTGATGGTTTGTCAACTTGATCATGCTACTTTTATTCTTTATGGCTTCTAGCACAATCAGTCAATTTGACAGCAATCTAATTACCACACCCCTGTGCCTTTCAACATTTGGATGTACTACAGAACTGCATGATTCCTGGTCCATCTTATTTCCTTATCTAAAGTCACAAGGCATACAGACTGCAATCCCAGGGGTGATCATGATTCCTCAACAGTGCAGGGTCCTTGGTAATCTGACTGACGTGTGATTTGTTTCCTGAATATTCTTCTGAAAGACTTATGTCTAAATAGCAATCACTCTTAATTTAGGTTCTCCTGAAAACAGAAATTCAGATAAAGAAAAAGGTGGAATTAACTGATTTTGGAAGTGATGCCAATAATAATGCAGGAGAGGAAAGAAGGGAGAAATGTGTCAGTAGGAAAAGCCATGCAGGGTTATTAGAAGTAGACTGCATGAAATGGGTGTGTGCTCTCTCAGGACCATCTGGAAAAGGACTTTTCTACTTGAAGAGTGGCTGAAAGTTCTATCCATGAGCTACCATTTCAACTGAGGGTTCCCCTGGGTCATTAAACCTGTTTCTGAGCAGTCCTTGTGGATATGCCAAACGGTCTCTCTCCTGGTGTTGGTAAGACCTCAGGGTAGAAGTATATATTGTTTCCTTGACCATCAGCATGTATGAGATGAATGTATGATCACACAGCATTATGGCTCTGCTGGGAAAAGAGCTGTGCTCAAGAATTGAGCTACCCCTGTAGCAGGACACCAACTTTAAAAGTGATACACAAGTACGGCCTTTCACTGTGATCCCCAAACTTCTTGGATAGTGCTCAGAAAATCAAAAGAGGTGAGTTGAAAAAAAAAAAAGGAAAATATTGACATTGAGTAAAATGGTAATCTGTACAGAAACAGATAAAGATATTTCTTGCATTTTACATAGTGAAACCTGCTAGGTTAAAACTGTCCGATTACTCTCCTTTTCCCAGAGGGCAGAGAAGGCAGGGTGGGGAGGGGGGTCTGATCACAATGCATTGTGTGAACTCCTCAAATCTATGAATATATCAAAAACAACTTTCCTTGGGCCAAAAATATTTTTTACAAATAGTTAATGGGAACTGTTTCTTGTAATGGTTAGTAATTAATTAAGAAATGGGAGATGAAAGGTAATTAAACAGATAAGTCAAATTGGAGAAATACACATCTGCCCTGCTTTTCAACAGAACCAAAAAGAAAAGAACAAGAGGGACAGAAGCATTTAAAGAGATAATATGAACTAGAAGTTAGCTACTATGAAATAGATGAACCTGAGAGGGCAGAATAAGAAGCTGTGGATGTGGCCCTGAGAATGTCTGTAAGGCTGGCATTCCTTAAAGGACCAGTCAGTCATCTGGACTATATTGTACTGAATTCCACAGCGCAGGTGCTGACATTTTATCACATTTTTAAAGGACCAGTGACACTGGAAAGGGAATAGAGTCAGAGAGATGATATGTACATTTTCTAGAATGTACAGAGCAATAAGAAAAGCGTGAATTAGTACAGAAGTTGGTGAAGTCTGAGCAAGGAGAAATGAAAGAATCTGAATGTTCTGAAAAATACTGATCCTGGGTGGAGTCTGCAGTATAATGTTCTTTAATCATGAAAAATACTGATTGTGAAAACTTCAACTAAATTTGCTTCTACCATGTGGATAAAGCTTAAAACATGACTGTAACTGATATTAAGTATTAAACAACCTCACAATTTTAACCAGAATTATGACTCAAGTTGTGCATATACACAATGTAGTCTTTTTGCTGATTTTAAATATTTTAATATTAGTTCCAAGTTTGGATTTTCTTAGTCCAATTTCATTATCATTCTTCATCACATTCACTTAGAATAACCTAAAAACATACCAATACCCTCCTACACGAAATTAAAATATTGCTATTTTACAGTGAAGTTTCTTCCAGAATGGAGACTGTAAAATATTTAAATGAATGACCAATTACTGTTTTTCATTGGGTGAAAGAGATGTGGTTATGCCTGCTATATAGTACAGGTTCATAAACTTTTAAGGAAGGAAAATATGTTCCCTTATTTTAAAGAATTTTAAGATACTAAAATAAGTAAAGAAAGATTAAATCCACTCATAAGATGATACAGCATAAAGATGGCTGAGTGATAATTCAGGCTGAGAATTCACAAGATAAAGTTAAAAGAATGAATGAATGAAAGTGGAGAGAGAGGTGAAGAGAGGAAGCAGAGGATAAAGAGGAAAAGGATAGAAAAACTGGAAAATGTTCACCAATAAATAGAGACCACATAGAAATGAAAGAACAAAAGGAGACGAAGTAAGCACTACACACTGCTGTGTAATGTACAGATAATCAGTGAGTGTGGTAAATGCCGAATCTCCAAGAGCAAGCATGCAGCATGCCTGGTGGTTATCAAAGTGGCTTTATTAGGAAGGAACTGTATTGAGCACAGTTGGCATTGAAGAGAGAGAGTTAGATACAAAGTTGACAAAGATGAAAAAGAAAGTGAGAATAATGAATGGTAGACATCACAGAGTATATGCTTTATGAAATTTCTATTTCCCCTCAGCACAGCAGACTAACATCGCGTTCCTGAGCAGAAAGGAATAAAAGAATTTGCACTGCCCTGCTTCTTCCCTGCTAGAGCCTTCATAGCCCTTTGGGCATCTGCATTTGTGCCATCTTTGAAAGAGACAATCGTCCCAAAAGACATGACCAGAGCTTGCAATGACAGCTATGGTGATTTCATCCTCCATGGCTTCTCTGATCACCCATATTTGGAGAAGGTACTGTTTTGGGTAGTTTTGATCTTTTATTGCTTGACTCTTGCTGGAAATATGGTCATAGTTCTTGTTTCCTTGAAGGATCCGAAACTCCACACCCCTATGTATTTCTTCCTGTCCAACCTTTCCTTACTAGACCTCTGCTTCACCAGCAGCTGTGTCCCTAAGATGTTGGTTAATTTCCAGAGTCCGAGGAAGACCATCAGCTTTCCTAGTTGTGCCACTCAGCTCTACATCTTCCTGTGGCTTGGGGCCACTGAGTGCATCCTCCTAGTGGTCATGGCTGTGGACCGCTATGTCGCAGTGTGTTGTCCTCTGAGATACACGGCTGTCATGCATCCCAAAGTCTGTCTGCAGCTGGCTGCCTTTGCTTGGGGAACCGGCCTGGTTCAGTCTCTGATCCAGTCTTCTACTACCCTCCAATTGCCCTTTTGCTCCCACCAGGTGGTGGATGACATTGTATGTGAAGTTCCAGCCCTGATTCAGCTCTCTGCTGCAGATACTACTTACAATGAAGTCCAGATGACCCTGTCCAGTGTTGCTCTCCTAGTGGTGCCCCTGGTCATCATCCTTTCCTCCTATGCTGCTATTGTGAAGGCTATACTGAGGATGAAGTCCGCTGCTGGGCAGAAAAAAGCATTTAGCACCTGCACTTCCCACCTTCTTGTGGTCTCCCTCTTCTATGGTACAGTCACAGGTGTCTATCTTCAACCGAGGACTCGCTATGCTCATGAGCGGGGCAAGTTTCTCACCCTTTTCTACACTGTCGTGACTCCGACTCTTAACCCCATTATCTACACACTGAGGAATAAGGAAGTAAAAGGAGCGCTGGGAAGGTTAGGGAAGAAGACCTGGGGTTCCCATAGCTGAGGAAGACAGTGTATTTACCTGTTGCTGAACTTCAAAGGAAAGAACAACCTCACCTCAAATTCCTTGTTCTAAGCCTCCCCAGGAAGAGCTTCATTTGTTTGTGGCGTGATTTCAGCTTCATTGTTTGGACCATTGATTTCTTCATGATGCAGATTCAGACACAATATGGCAGATAAATTATTTTCATATTAATTTTCTTGAAAAATAGAATACAGTTAATTTATAGGAAGGAAATCTTTACAAAATAAAGTAATAAATAATATGTTTCTTTTCACTCCTTTCATTTTGTTTTTTTTATACACTTTATCTAATTTTATTTTATGTTTATGAGTGTATCGCCCGCATGTATATCTAGTGCACCTGTGTCATGCAATGAATGTGGAGGTCAGAAGAGGGCATTAGATCCCCTGGAACTAGAGTTAGGGACAGTTGTTAACCATCATGTAGATACTGGAAAGTGAATCCTGGTCCTTTGAAAGAGCACCCAGTGCTCTTAACTGCTGAACTATCTCTCTAGTCCCTATTTATTAAATTAAAAAATTATTTTATTTCGGTGTATGTGTCTATTTGAGTGCATTGGAATGCATACTGGTGCTTCTGGAGGCCAGAAAAAGACATTGTATAGCCTGGATCTAGAGTCACAGGCTAACATTGGTGCTAGGGACTGAACTTGGTACTCTGGAAAAGCACAGCACTCTTAATCGCTGAGTCATCTCGCAAGCCCCTCTAACCTCTTCTGTATATTTTCCGACAAGCTCTCATTAAGTTCCCCAAGCAGACCTTTAATTTGCTTTCTTCCTGATTGAGCCTTGTAAGTAGGTGGGGGTCACAGTTCTGTGCTGCCTGGTCCGTCTATTCCACTTATTTGTTTGATTTTCCCCAAGTGTAACTAGTACTTTTAAGCAAATTCAATCCTGAAAGTTTTCTAGTTTTGAGAAAGAAACTTTTAAAATGTATTGGCCAATCCAAGGTATGCTTGTCGGCCCCTGGTGCCCTTACTTGAAGACACTGTGTTCACATTTTTTCCTTTTGAGCTTGATATTCTGTGACTTCAATGATAGGATTAGAGTTATTTTTCCTTTACTGTAAGTGCTGTTTTAATTAAATCAGTGTCTCATCCAATTCTTACTCATTTTTGTTATAGTTACCAATTTATTAATATGTAACTATTATGTACAAAATGCTAGGACAGATGAAAACATACAAAATCATTAACATTACCGAACTTGATATGGAGTGGCAGTGATAGCTGTTAAGCAAAGTCATTTGTGTTTAATCTTAGGGGAAAAGGCCTTGTTCACAGTGATATAGTTGCCATGATTTCTGAATTTTGACGTTTGTTTACTCTCAAGCACAGATCTGAATATTGCTGCTCTTCAGTCACTGTTTGTATCCACTAGTTTAGTTCAACTAAAATCATGACAGAATCAAATACTCTCCTATTAAGGTGTTGAAATTTTTCTTTAGGTCTTTGATGTCTCCTATGTGTGGATGATAGAGCATTTGCAGAGAGAACTTGAGTTAGCCATGCCTTCAACCATTTTCCAAATGACTTGCATCACTTTCAGATTTGGATATTTCATCCTGAATTCTTTAGAAAT